ATATCGAATACGTTACGGGGAGCTTGCCAGGCTCTGCTATGCGGGCGGGATACTCTCGGGCTTGCCGGGCTCTCTGAGAGGGGCGAAGGAATGGAACCCGGCAAACGCCCTACCCGCTGTGCGATAGCGTCAGCCCGCACTTCTGGGTATGACCCCCAAAAAACAAAACAAACAGCAAACTCAGAGGCCCACCCCAGGGATCCCGGGCAGGCTCCCGGCAACGTCAGCTGGAGGCTCCTCAGCGCCCTGTAGCTGTAATGGGGTGAGTCTTGGCAGTTACTGGGTGTCTCTGAACCTCCGTTTTCACATTGGAAAATGAGGTTTCCAAGGGTAGATTAGGGGTTGGGAAGAGAGTAAAGGTATTTAGGCATTGGCCTCGCACGCAGCCAACACCAGTTGCACCACTAGGTGTGGCCCTAAAGCAAAAAAATAATAAAATGATAGATTATTAGTAAACAGGATTGAAGTCCAGACCGGAGTAATCCTGATAAACCAGTTGTTTGGAGAACTGGGAGGAATCTCAGGAGATTTCCTGGGCCAGAGGAAATAGCCCTAAGAGCTGAGCACACGCCTTGCACGTGGGAGCCCCAGGTTTGATCCCATGGTCCTCTCAGCCCTGCCGGGTATGGCCCTTGGCTCCCCTCCAAAAAAAAGGAAAAATACAAAAGATTTCTGATTTCCTCGGCCACTGGCTTTTGAACTCTTTTCCTTGGTGATTTAGGATTCTGTGGAGGCCTTGGGTGATGAAGGCAGGCAAGCCCTTCATCCTGAGCCCTGCCATTCTCCTTGCTCTGTCATATAGATGGGGTGAGCTGGTCCTACTACTACTGCTAGAGAAATAGTACAGGTAGTACAGCAGATAGGGCACCTGCATTGCATGCCAAATTTATTCCCGGCACCCCATAAGATCCCCGGAGCAGTACCAGGAGTGACCTCTGAAGCTCAGAGCTCTGTCATGTGTGACCACAAACAAAACTAAACTAAAAATGGTCTCCCGGGGCTGGAGAGATAGTACAGTGGGTAGGGCCCTTGCCTTGTACCTGGCTGACCCAGGTTTGATCCCCAGCATCACATATGATCCCCTGTATACAGCCAGGAGTAATTTCTGAGTGTAGAGCCAGGAGTTATCCCTGAGTATCTCTGGGTGTGGCCCCAAACCAAAATAAACAAATAAAATGGTCCTACCACTTTAATATATATTATAGGCCAAGTAGAACCAATGTCTTCTGGTTCCTGGTGTAGTGTTTTTGTCATCTATATAAAACAGGGAACTGAAATACATTTTTAAATGTAAGACATTATTTTTGTACCATCCAATTAGCTAAAACTTCATTTAGCCCTAACCCCATTCCTGCCCCAGAATTCCAGGCATAATAGAGTTTTGCTGTTGGAGAAAGCATTGCCTTCCAAGACTGAGCACGTTCCCTTCAGGCCTTGTGCAGGGCTGAGGACTCTGCACCGCCCAGTGTGATGTGCGTAACAGGAACTGCTTTGGATTGTTCACTTGATCTGAGCTGATGTGAGAGTGAGGGGCCGCGCGCAGCTCATGGCTGCCATACCCGACCCTCAGCCTGAGGCCGAGAGCAGGGGCCAGCTGGTGACCTCGGCCCCTTGGCCGCAGAGTCACCCAGAGACTTGGTTCCAAGGACAGAAACTGGGCCCCCTGCCCAGCAGCGGCTTGAGTCGGTCTGGTTAACTCGAGAACTTTAAGAAGTCACTTAAGAACTTGTCTGGTTTACCCGGACTGGCTGTCGGGCTGGAATGTGCTGCGTTATCGGGCTCTTCCTTCATGGGTGAGAGTGGAACCAGGATCGGGCACTTGGCCCTGGCCTTGATCTTCCGGCCATAGCAGTCCTCTGGGAAATGTCAGACCTTTGGAGAATGTGGTGAAAGCTCAGGGCCTTGAACTGTACAAACTGCGTGGAGTTCAGCGGGGGGCTCGCCAGCCTCCCCAGAATCGTCCCTGAGCCCATTAATTCCTCAACCAGTGGGGCCAGAGCAGAAGTGCAGCAGGTAGGGCGCGGGCCTTGCATGCGGCTGACCCGCATTCATTCCCCGGCATCCCATATGGTCCTCCCTGACCCTGCCAGCAGTAACCCCCGAGCACTGCCAGATGTGGCCTGAAAACAAAAAACAAACTAAAAAAGCCCCTTCGGGTCAGAGAGAACCCAGTGGACTGAACTCATGCAGAGTGTGCTTTAATGCTCGGCACCAGGTTTATTCTCCAGCAGCTCTGGAAGTGAATGGGGCCAGGGTACGGCCCCCAAACAAAACCACGCCCGGAATTCCTCACCTGGGACTGGGGATCTAGCCCAGTACTTGTCTTAAATGCGTGAGACCCCAGCACCGGCAAGGGGAGGGAAATTTCCTTAGCTGGGACCATAAGTCTCTAACCGATGAGGGCGTCAGGTTTGAGTGTCAGCACCCAAGATTGTTGTTCCGGGCTCAGAGCGATAGTACACAGCAGGGCGAGCCGGCCCACCCAGGTTTGACCCACATATGGCCCCTGCACCCACCAGGAGAGCACCTGAGCCAAAAGAACCCCCGAACACTTCTAGGTGTGCCCTGTTTCCTCCTGCCCCCCTCCCCCAAAAGCATTGTCCAGAGTAGGTATTCAGGCAGTTAAGTCCAGGACCCTTCCAGCCATTCCTAGCACAGATGCTCCGGGGAGAGACCCCCACCACGACAGAGGCCAGAGCATAGGCAGTGGACTCACTTCAGGTGCTAGGACGGATACACACACACACACACACACACGCACACACACAGAGGCCCACCCCTCTCCTTTCCCTGTGCTTTCCTGCAGGGGAGCCGGGACGCACCAGGGCTCCGACTTGCCTTTAGAAAGGCACAGCCGATTCCCACACAGTCATTACTCCCCCCAATCTAGGTTGCAGGAGAGAAGGAACAAAGCTATGAGGTGACCATCAGGGCTAACAGGCCAGGGACCAAGCTCAGGCAGCATCCCAAACTTATAGCAGAGCCCACAGAGGCAGGAGGGGGCAGGCGCTGCTACCAGCCCAGTGTCCCCAGAATAGCCCTTGGAAGTCAGAGGCCGTCCTTGAGGGGGTGAGTCATGGTCACGTGCCCAGCACAGCCCGTGTCGCACCTCTCCTGGGCAGGACGTCTGACCCCAGGAGGTGAGAGCCACCCCTCTTCCCCGTGCCCTTCACGTGGCAAGGCAGGCTCCCCCACAGCCTCCTGGGGGCTCTGCCCGCAGCGGGCGCTGCCTCAGGAAGCTGGCGGAGGCCCTGAGCCCAGCTGCCTGGGTGAGCGGGAGGGAGGCTGGGCCTGGCCTGCAGCCACTCAGCAGCCAGATGAAAGGGCCACCCCGGGACACATGCCAGGCCTGCCCAACCTCTCTAGCAGGTGGCGGCCAGAGGAACCCAAGCAGTGGGACCCCAGGCTCGTCTCTGCCATTGACGGGGCTCCCTCTCGACCCTAGACCCTGGACTGCTCAAGCCTTGCAGGTCATCCTCAGTTCCCTCCTTCAGCCGTGGCCCCCCGCTGCTCCTCAGGGACACCCCTCTCCATTCTTCTCCCCGGAGAGACGTGAAGTAGCAGCTGGGCCCCGCGGCCCCCAAAAACTGCAGGCGGATGGCCTTAGATCTGATTCTGGTTTTGCTGGGGGGCCAAACCCAGTGATGTTCAGGCTTTCCTCCTGGCAGGTTCAGGGGACCCTGTGGGGTGCTGGGCAGGCCTGTTTGCGTGAGTGGCAGTGAAGCGGTTACAGGAGGGCTGTGTCTCTGCTGCCACCTCCCTGCCTCTGTCGGGAGGGCGGGACTCAGAGCTATTTCCCCCCCCCCCCAACTGCTGCTCCTGCCTAAGGGGGGTTGGGCAGCTGTGGGAAGATGGAGGTTGTGCTGTGGGGGGGCTTCCCTAAGACCACCCCTTTTGAAGCCTTCAGATCAACAGATTGAATAACTGGGCAGCTGCTTATCCAAAGGAGAGGGTCCTTGGGGGCAGAGCTGGGAGACTCAGCATAGCAGTGACCCCCCACCCCAACCTTCACACCACCTCTGAGCCAGCTCAGGGGGCTTCAGCCTGCTACATCCCAGCTCCCCCAGAGCAGAGGGGTCAGCCTGCCACCCTCCAGAGCTGGGGTCCCAGTGTCGGGGCCATGGAGAAGGGTGAACGCACTGCTCAGAGCAAACTGCCGGGGCCCATCTGCATAGTGGCCCTCCTGGGGGTCGTCCAAAGCAAGCCACGCCTCAGCAGGTCCCCGGGGAGTCATAGCCCCTCCCGGAGATGGTGCCATTCTCTTGCCCACTGATCTGGCCCCTCTCACCCCCACCCTTGGGCTTTATCCTGTCTTATGGGAGGTGGAGGTTGGTGTCGGAAGCTCAGAAATGCCACTGTTAAATGTTGCCTGATAGCGGAAAAGAAAATGATGTCTAGAAATCTCTATCATACGGGGTGGAGCGATAGTACAGCAGGTAGGGCGTTTGCCTTACACGTGGCTGACCCAGGTTCGATTCCCAGCATCCCATATGGCACCCCTGAGCACTGCCAGGAGTGATTCCTGAGTGCAAAGCCAGGAGTAACCCCTGGGCATCGTTGTGAGCCAAAAAGGAAAAAAAAAAAACTCCATTATATGTCCATCCATATTCACACACACACACACGAATGTGCAGCCCCCTGTCTCCAACAAGGAAATCAAACCAAACCTGGTCAGAGAAAAGCCACGGATAGATGGTCCTCCAAGAGGGCAGGGTCTGCGCCCAATCAGTGAGAATCTAAAGGTTTGTGTGTGGCCCGCCGCCCTGTTCACTTGAAAAGCAGAAGGTTGAGCCCCAGGAGCCGGAGAGCAGCTGCGGGGGGCTTGGGCGTGGGACCTGGGCATGACGCTGTCCCGGAGGAGGCTCAGCGGGGCATCCACGGAGGGGCCACCCGGACAGGCAGCCCCTGCCATTGGGAAGGGGCCGCAGACCCAGCCCGCGCCCACCCGCTGCCTTCTGTCTGTGGGAGCCGGCAGTGACACCCCGCCCCACCTCACGCAGGTGAGCGTCAGCCCGGGAAATGGCAGTGATGGAAGTGGCCTGCCCGGGCGCGCCTGGCTCGACGGCAGCACAGCAGAAGGAGCTCGCCAGCACCAAGGAGAAGACGCAGGCCCTGGGCAAGGATAGCGCCCTCAGCCCGCTGGAGGCGGTGAAGAGCCCGGTGTTCTGCGGGAAGTGGGAGATCCTGAACGATGTCATCACCAAAGGCACCGCCAAGGAAGGCTCCACGGGGGGCCCGGCAGCCATCTCCATCATCGCCCAGGCCGAATGTGAGGCCCCGCATGGCGGGCACGGGGACCCCGGGGACGGGGACAGGGAGCCAGGATTCAGCCCGAGTGGGGGTGGGAGTTGTTACCAAGGGCCATGCTGGGGCGGAGCTGGGGAGGAGAGCGGGGCTCAGGGGTGTGTCCAGCCACTGACCGGACTCTCACCTTCTGCGGTGACCTTGGGCATCTCTGGAGAGGCCGGGTTCCCCAGAAGACCCTCAGCGATGCCTGCCCCCCTTTGCGTACCTTCCACCTGGTTGTGACCCCACCCCAGATCTGCCCCTGGGCCTCAGGCTGGTGGGTTTCACTCAGCAAACCCCAGCAGCCCCCAGAACCTGAGAAACATCCCCTCTCCACCCAGGCCAGGCACGCACACATGTTCACACACGTGCACACACGTGTACTCCTCAAGTGTTTGCTGTGTACCACTACTCTATAGGAGGGTTGGCCCACTTAAGCTCCCCGGAAGGAAATGAAGCGGGTGCCCTGCTGACCTCGCAGAGCCGTGACCTCCGGTCTTGGCCATGAAGCCGGAGCGGGAGGGGAGCAGACCCAGAGGGAGGGACTCAGGGAGGGGAGGCCAAGGTACCCCCTGAACCCCGGCCCCCGCCTTGCTTTCCCTTATTAAGGTGAGAACAGCCAGGAGTTCAGCCCCACCTTCTCGGAGCGGATTTTCATCGCAGGGTCCAAACAGTACAGGTAAGCTGGGGTGCCCTGTACCATGCCCCCACCCCGCCAGTAGCTGGCCCAGGGATTCTTGTGTCCTGGAGACCTCTTGTCCCATCGGGGGGAGGATGCAGGCCATGGTGGTACGCATGAGGAGGGGCCCTTCTCTCCTGCAATCACACCCCGGGATGCCAGAGGGGGACAGATGGGTTGGGGGGAGCAGCTCATGGGCCTGAGCCAGACTTCATCTGTTCCCTGGGCCCCCAGTCTGACCACTGAAGCAGAAACTGGGTGCAGTTCCCGCCTCCCCTGGCACGTGACCCTTGCTTCTCTGGGGTTCGCAAACCGCTGGTGATAAGAGGGCGGGAGGGCCAGGGCCCTGCCCTTGAGCCCAGACACTCCCGTGTTGGCTCGCATTCCTGACCTGCCTTTCGGCCCAGCGTGGCTCCCTTCCTGGGACAGGCCAGCAGGAGGCCCCCACACTGAGGTGAGGCTGCTTCCTTTGCGGGGGGCAGACCACGAGACCCCCAAGGGTGGCAGAGGTTGTGATGTGCCCGGACATTCACTGTTCTTTGGCCTTGGCCACCTCTGAAAGCTCCCATGGCCAGCACCTATGATGCTTGAGTGGGGGAGGGGGGCAAGAACCAACTCGGAGCCACCGAGGACTCTGCCCAGCAGGCGGGGCGTGTGGGGAGAGGACCCTTCCCACCACCACCCCTTCTCCCTGGGGCCCCGACCAGAGCTCCTTCCTGAGCTGACTAACGAAGGCTGGTCGGAGCAGACATCGCCTGCTGAGGGGCGTGACCCTCCCAGTCCCGTGCTCCCTTAGGCCCCCTCTCAGGGCACCCCACCGTGAAGAGGTGCAAGAATTTCATGTCTTGGGCCTGGAGAGATAGTATAGTGGGTAGGGCACACTGTTAGATCCGTGGCAGCCCATACAGTGCTCCCCAAGCCCACCAGGAGCGATCCCTGAGCACCACCGGGTGTGGCCCCCAAACCAAAAATAACTAAAAAGACTTGCTTGTCTGTCCCCCACTCTAGGGCCTGAGTGTGCCCCCAGGCCCACCATCAGGGCTGTTGACTGCTGGCTTATCTGTGGGCTCACTCTGCAGGAAGCTACTTCATTGGGGGGTGCAGGGGGGCTTCCAAGCAGTGCTCAGAGTCCTGGCATCCCTCTCAGAGATTCTCAGCCAGCCGGCCACTGGGCTGATGCCAGGGTGGGAGGCTGGTGCTGCCCAGGCCCCGTGGCGCTGGGGCTTCCCCAGGCCTCCCCAGTGGTGCCAGGGACCCAACTGGGGTGAGCCACATGCAGGGCCCCTTCAGCCCTGGACTGTCTCTCCAGCCCCAGAGCTGTCTCGTGGGAACCTCACGGCCACCTGGCTGCAGGAAATCCTGCATCCAGTGGGGCCAGAGGACAGTCACCCAGGCATCCACACCGCTGGGACCTGACCTCAGCCTTTGCCCCGGCCCATGGCGCCCTTCCTTTTTCCCTTTTCCCGAGCCTCTCGTCTTCAATGCATGCCTGTCCCCCACTTCCTCCTCCTCCAGCCAACCCGAGGGCCCTGACCAGGTTCCCAACAATGTGGCCCATGCCACCGAGGGCAAGATGGCCCGCGCATGCCCCAGGCGGAAACGGCGCAGCAAAGCCCGGAAGAAACGCAGGAAGAGGCGCTCCAAGCCGGCACCAGCCAGACCTCTCCCCCGGACCCCCGAGCAGGAGAGCTGCACAGTCCCTGTGCAGGTGACACCCCACCCCCACCCGCCCGGGGCTCCTGGGCCCTCGCCTGTCTCCTAATGCCTCTCTCTGTCTTCCTCCCTCCCAGGAAGATGAGTCCCCGCTCAGCGCCCCCTATGTCAGAAGTGCCCCCCAGTTCACCAAGCCCCTACAGGAGCCCGACCTCGACCAGCTCTGTTTTAAGAAGCTCGGGGAGGGCCTGCAGCCTGGACCGCCCCGGCCAGAACTGTACAAACTGATCAGCCCCTTGCAGTGCCTCAACCACATGCGGAAACTCCCCCACCCTCAGCACGCGGGCCCCCTGCCCCTGCCCGCGCACCCCTTCCCCTTCAGCCGCCTGCCCCATCCCTTCCCCTTCCACCTGCAGCCCTGGAAACCTCACCCGCTAGAGTCCTTCCTCCTGGGCAAACTGGCCCCCGCGGACAAGCAAAAGCCCCTTCCCCCTCTGTCCCTGAGCCAGCTGGCCTATATTGATGCTCAGAAGCCCCTGCCCCGGACCCCGGACCCCAGCCACCCCCCTCCGGGCCCGGGCGAGAAGTTCTCTATGGAGGAGTACCTGGTCCACGCTCTACAGGGCAGCGTGAGTCCCGGCCAGGCTCACAGCCTGGCAAGCCTAGCCAAGACCTGGTCGACAGGGGGCTCCAGGCCCCGGGATCCCAGCCCCCAAACTGAGGACAGCGAGGGGGTCCTGCTTACTGAGGTAAGTGAGCCCCCCAGACGCACAAACTTAGGCCGCGGCCAGCACTGTCTTGCACCAGGAGCTGGGTGGGAGCAGCCAGGGAGAAGGGGCGTCCCTGAGACCCCCCTGCCCAGTCTCCCCCCCACCACAGGAATGTTCTGTCAATCAGCGCCCCCCAGCCAGGGGCCACATGGAAGGCCACGGGTGAAAGTCCCATCAGGCCCCTACCGGAAGGATGGGGGGGTGGCCCCCGAAGGAATCAAGGTGGGAGGGGCCACAGCCGGGCAAAGTCCTAAACGCTAGTGGGAATCACAGGGCACCTGTTCCCCACTCGCCTGGGATTTGGGGGGTTGGTTGGTTTGGGTTTTTGTTGGTTTGTTTGGGGGCCACTGGTGATACTTCCTCTCGTGGCTCTATGCTCAGGAATCGCTTCTGAGAAGCTTGGGGGACCCTATTGGTGCCGGGAAATGAACCTGGGGTGGCCACATGTGAGGCCAGTGCCCTCCCCGCTGTCCTTTCAGCTGTGTTGGCCTTCAGTCCTTCTGGATGGTCATCTCAGCCCTGGGGACGTGTGTGTTAAGGATAGATAAGCTCGGAGCAAGCAAAGCCCCCTGTGAAGATGGGCTGTGGCCATCACACCCGTTTTTCCACCTTTCCCTTTCCAAAAGTTTCTCTTTTGGGGTAACTCTGTAGCTTTGTTTCATTTTTGTTTGTTTTCATTTGGGGGCCAAACCCAGTGCCCTATGGGTGGGGGGGCAGGGCTAAAACCCAGATCATGGTCAGTCCTGGCTTCGTACAAACCCTACCCGTTGTACTATTGCTCCGGCCCTGTTTTTTGGTTTCGGGCTTTTTTTTTTCCCCCCTCTTTTTGGACACACCTGGCAATGCACAGGAGTTACTCCTGGCTCATGCACTCAGGAGTTACTCCTGGCAGTGCTTGAGGGACCATATGGGATGCTGGGGATCGAACCCGGGTCGGTCACGTGCAAGGCAAATGCCCTACCCACAGTGCTCCAGCCCCCTGTTTTTGTTGTTGTTGTTGTTGTTTGTTTGTTTGTTTTTTAAAATGTCTGTAACCTTATAGGATCTTCCCAAACTCACATTTGTTTTTGTTTGTTTTACTTTTTTCATTTCTTGCTGAAGTCATCTTTTCCCTGCAGGGCTGGCATGGCTCTGCCTCTGGCTCCAGATTTCTAGGTTTTACTCCATCCACTGCCCACTCTGTTCCTGGGCCCCTGGTCCCTGGTCCTCTGTAGCATCTCCTGCTCTTGGTCCCCCTGTCCCCGTCCGTTGTCGTGGTCAGGGCTGTCGATGGCCTGTCTCTGTCCCACAACTGCAAGTCCAGGAGGCCTCCCATCACCACCAGGATGGACTGACCGGGGGCAGCCCAGGGGGTCTCTCCTGCTTCTCCTGGTCCCCAGCAGCCCCCAGAGTCCAGATCGAGGGGTCTGGAGCCACAGTGCATTAGGCAGGGCACCCTGCACGCGGCAAACTGCGGCTCGGTCCCTGGCACCACAAAACATTCCCACTGGCCCACTAGGACCACTGACCCCTGGGTGCAGAGCCAGGAGTGAGCCCTGAGTACAGCCAAGTGTGGCCCCAAACCCACAAAAACAAACAAATCAATAGACACAATGCAGGCTCCTTCCTGCCACAGAGGGGGCTGGCGAAGAGGGCGTCAGGGGTCTTTAGTTGTGAGAGCACAGCCCAGCAGCTGGTCAGACCTGGGGCGCACCTGGTGAACCAGTGCCCACTGACGCCAGCGTCTCTCCTGCCCACCCCAGAAACTCAAGCCGGTGGATTACGAGTACCGGGAGAAGGTCCACTGGGCCGCACAGCAGCCGTGCCTGGGCAGAGGCTCCTTCGGGGAGGTGCACAGGATGGAGGACAAGCAAACTGGCTTCCAGTGTGCCGTCAAGAAGGTAGGAGCGGGCAACGGCCTGTCTTCCACCCTGTCTGTGACTCAGGGGCAGTCCCCATCAGGCCCCATGCCCCCCTCACACTCCCCAGGGAGCTGCGTGTGGGAGAGACTGAGTGTGAGACCGTGGGTGCAGCCTAGACCCCTCCAGGTGCCCTTTGGGGGAGAACCCGGAAGATGGTTGGATTATCAAATATCCCCGTGAAGCTGGCTCCCACCCCAAAAACACACTCCAGGGTGACCTCACCCCCAGCCGGGTAGGTGAGGAGAAGCCCCCACCAGTGGCTTGGGAGCTGATACTACATAGGCTAGGCAGGAGAGCCAGGCCTGCTGGTGCCCAAGTGGGGGGCTCTGATGCCTCCTGGGGAAGGGTAGCCAGGAACTTGGGGGGCCCAGAGACCCCATCTCCCTCTCCCTTTTCTCATCAAGGTTATAGCTGAGACCAGCCACCCACTGGCCACTCCCCCTGGACAAGCCCAGCCCCCGCCGCCCTCCCCTTCTCTTTTTCTCCCCTTGGCTGACTCTCAGCTCACCTTGTTTGCAGGCCCCAGACCAGCCTCAGAGCTGATACCCGGACCCCAGGCAGTGGAAATCAGAAGCGTTTCCCTGCGCCCTTTCTGTGGCCCCCTGGACTGGGGGGGCCCGCAGGCCCCAGCCCCACTGGCCTGGGCAGCTGAGGCTCTAGTGTCAGGCCCCTCTGCGCTGGAGTCCCAGAGTTTGAGCCCCAGGGGGGTGGGGTGAGAGGGGGACTCCCCACAGGTATTACCCCAAGCTGTGGGCAGTCTGCCCAGCGGGCAGGCCCCAGCCCACGGCCCAGCTCTGCGCCAAGCACCAGCTAAGTCCTGCCAGTGGGGGCCACGGGCCTGGCCTCCGCAGCGCCCCCTCCCTGGGCAGGGGTGGGGTGGAAAAGGCGCAGCTGTCCCTCACCCCCCACCCCCACAGGAGAGGGCGGGGAGGGTGAGGGGGTGAAGGGGCCAGTGCTGGGCGCTTCGTCACTGGCCGTCTCAGCTGTTCCCTGATGCCCTGGGACTCCAGGCAACACAGTAAACAACCCTAATATAGTCAGCAGGACAGACCCTCACTCCTCGCCCCCTCCCGCTGCCCCCCCCCGCGTGCGCCCCAAGATTGCCTTGGTCTGTTAGGCAGACACAGCCCCTCCTTTCGTTCCAGGGGAGGGGGGGTGTGGGCTGTGGTGTCCTTGAAGGGTTCCAGCTGGAAGGTCTGAGAAGGTTCCCTGCCAGGCGGGGTGGAGCGGGATGGGGTGACAGGGGGCAGGGGCAGCCGCCAGGCCCCAGGGAGCCTGGACTCTGGTAGTTTCAGATTCTCTGCCCCCTCCCCTCCCCCTCCACCCCCAACCTCCGCAGCCCCAGGTCAAGTTAGCCCCGAGGTCAGGGCTAAATACAGAATATGTGTTTGTGGGCTGGAGTGATAGTGAAGAGGGTAGAGCATTTGCCTGGCCTGCAGCTGACCTGGGTTCGAGACCCAGCATTGCATAGGGTTCCACGAGCACCACCAGGAGTGATTTCTCAGTTGTGCTGGGGGTGACCCAAAAGAAAGGGGGGGAAACCATAATTCTTATTTGTTTGGGGGGCTATTTCAGGGTTGCCCCCCCCACACAGTGCTCTGGGGGCCTAGGGTACACTCCTGGCAGTACTCGGTCAACCGGGCCAGCTAGTTGAATGTGCGGATCAGTGACAGCCCCAAGCCGTGGCCACCGTGCTCAGAGGTCATGCCCAGGGGTCGTGCAGTACTGGGGGCTAACTCAGGCCTTGCCTTACCTCTGGGCAATCTCTCCGCCTTATTTTGTTTTGATGCTGGGACTTGAACCCAGGTGCTGCATCCACCATGCGCTCTAGCCCTCTCTGCCTTTTTTCCCTCTGGGATTGTTTGCTTATTTGTTGTAAGGTTTTGATTGATTGATGGGGTGGGGGCGGGGGGGGGGGAGAATGCATAACCTGGTAGTGCTCAGGGATCACTCCTGACAGTGCTATGATGACTATATATTTGGGGAACTTGAACTAGGGCCAGCCATGTGCAAGGCAAGCGCCTTAACTCCTGTATGATCTCTCTGGTCATTGTTTGATCTTTATTTATTTATTTATTTGCATCTTGGATCACACCCAGCGATGTTCAGGGGTTCCTCCTGGCTCTGTACTCTGAGGAATCATTCCTGGCAGTACTCAAGGGATGTCGGGGATCAAACCCAGGTTGGGCACGTGCAAGGCAAATGTCCTACCCGTTGTACTGTCACTCCAGCCCCTTGATCTTTAAGGGATAAAAAAATTAAAAAATAGAGACTCGGGTTCCATCCCTGGCACTGCGTGCCCCCGAGTACCATCAGCAGTAACCCTCAAGCGCTGAGCTGCACTAGCCCTCTGGCTGTGGCCCCAAAATCCAAATAATAAAAATGGGATTGTTCCCCGGAGACTCCGCACACCCCACGTGTTCTCCTGGGCTACTCCGTGCTCGTCAGCTTTGTTCTTAGTAGGGACTTTACTCTATGGTACCAGTGTCACAGGCTGTGCGCGCACACGCTTTTTAGGACCAAGGCCCCATACCATCTGACAGATGTTCACAGAGCTCAAGAACTCTTCATTTGAGAGCATCTGGCCTGAGCACGGAGTCTCCTTTGGACCCAGGCCTCTGACCCCGAGCGAGGTGGATATTTACGTGCCATGAAGCTGCGAGATGCCGGCCAGGGCCTCCAGAGAGGTTTCCCTGGACGAGTGCTTAGGAAGAAAGCCTGAGATTTGGGAAAAGACTGTCTCCAGTCAGCACAGACGTAGAGGAACCGTGATTTATTTACCCTTGCGTGTTGCTCTTACCAGATCAGTTGCCATGTTCATCACTGGTCATCCCTGCTATTTCCTGGCATCCCTGCAGGAACATATAGAGGGGCAGTTATCCCCTTTTCACCGATGAAAAGTAACAGATCAAAATCCCAGAGAAATCAGGAAGGCAGGATTGAAGGAGGACGGCGTTCCAGGGCCACAAGTGCAGGCGGCCGGGCCAGGGTGCATAGTTTGTGGACTTGGCCCACTGACCTCACTCACACGCACCCCACCCCACCAGGCTCGCCCCCGCGTCTGTACAAATGCGCAGCTGAGCTGTACAAGCTCCCAGGCCTAGGCCGGCATCTGGCTTCCCCACCAGATCCCTGTTGAGACACCCACCCCCAGAGCTCCCCAGTCTCGGGAATAGTGACCTGGGCAGGCGTCAGCCTCCTCTTGGCCAAGTGGGAAGGAGGAAAACACTGCCAGCCGGGCTGCTGGACTGTCTGTGCGGATATGGGTGTCTCAGCACCCAGCCGGGTCCTAGAAGGTGTCTGTGTGGGTGTGGGTGTCTCAGCACAGAGCCGGGTCCTGGAAGGTGTCTGTGCGGGTGTGGGTGTCTCAGTACCCAGCAGTCAGCAGGAGCATTGTCATGGGCGTCACTGCAGCAAGCCCCTGGCCCGTCTCGAGAGATGCTCTGGGCTGGCACTTTGTGCCCTCTGCCTCTGTTCTCCGGGGGAGCTCAGCTGTTTTGTTTTGGTTTGGGTGCCATACCCAGCGATGCTAAGGGTTTACTCCTGGCTCTGCACTCAGGGATCACTACTAGCTGTTCTCGAGGGACCATACAGGATGCTGGGGATCAAACCTGGGTTGACCGGTGCAAGGCAAGCACCTGTCTCTCTAGCCCCCCTCGTCTGTTTTGAACACATAACCATCGCTAGAGCAGGAGTGGGAATGCCCAGTCTGAGATTGTATGGGACCCGTCCAGGGCGCTGGCCCTGGTGCAGGACGGGACCAGCTCCCGCACCTCTCCTCGGCTGTCATAGCCCACCTGCTTGTTCTACGTCACTCACAAATGCTGCTACAAATCTCCAAACAGCCCTGGACCAAGGAAGCTTCCCCTCCCTGCTCTCAGGGAACTATGGATTGTTGGGTTTTGTTATTGTTTTTGTTTTTGTTTTTGTTTTAAGAAGCATCCCAAACCGTCTGGGTTCACGGCTCTTCATATCTCAGGAATTTTTCGGCCATTGGAATAACAGTACACACGAGCTTGTAAACAAATTTTTCCTCTGGTTTTAAATGGGGTGTCTGCCTGGTTGGGCTCAACGTAGCTTCTCAAAACCTGGACTCCTGTTGGACACCTTCAGTTCCTGCCCCTTGTCCCCCCACCAAGTGCTGTTCATGGAAGCAGTCCCCAGAAACCTCACTCCCGGAAGCCCCCTCGTGAGGCGTACCACATTACCTGTGTGCACAGTGGCTCTGACATGGCCCTGCTTGACTCTGGAGCGCCTGGTATTGTCAGGGTCCTGCCGAGGTGCTCACGGCTGCTTCCCTGGGGACCCCAGAGACCCCTAGCCCACACCCTGAGAACAATATGGCCAACCACATGCCAACTTGAGTCCCACTTTAGGTCACACTCAGAGCTGGAATAACTGACAAAAGTCCACATTGAGTTAGCGAAGCCAACTAGATACTCTGAAATGACTAGAAGAGAGACATTTTCCACTGATGGGTCCAGAACCTCCACAGCATCAGGCCTGCCTCCCGCCCAGTCAGCAACTCTCAGAACTGAACTGCAGGCTGGTGGGCTGACGGGTGAGGCTGGCGCCCCCTGGCGACACCCCTGTGTGCAAGGGAGAAGCCCCAGCAGCCAGAAAGGCGTCAGCCACCAGCTGCCCCTGCTAGAGGTGGAGGGAGGGTGGATGAAGAAGCCAGGTGGCCACATCTCCTGGGCACTGGTCATTCCCGCCCCACCCCCAAGGAAGGGCCGAGCCTGCAGTTGGCAGATGGAAGCCAAGCGCTCTGGGAAGTGAGCTACCTGTGGACCGGCGGGCCAGCGTCCCGACGTGGACGTTTGTGTCAAAGGCCCATTTCTTCCCACTGCGCCAGGCTTTCCTCGGCTGGGGAGAGTGGGTGAGCCCCGCCGGCCGAGCCCCTCCCAGAAGCCTCTCCGCCCAGGCGCTAGGGAAACAGCTGCAGAGAGTCAACAAACACTGTCTCCTCGCCTCTGTAGACACTGCAGCCCTGGCAGGGAAAGATAAGTCATTCCTGAGAGCTGAGAAGGGCGCGGAGGAGCCAGAGTCTTGCCACATTAGCTCTGGCCGCAGAGGAGGCGAGAACCCAGCCCATGCAGAGCAGGCGCGGGTGCCGATCCACAGAGGAATCACATCTGAGAAATGCTGCAGATAATCTGGGCAGCATTGAAAAAGAAGGTGGAGGGTCCGGAGCAATAGTACACGGAGGGGGCACTGGCCTTGCCCATGGCTGACCCGGGTCCGATCCCTAGCACTCCATATGGTCCCCTGAGCACCCCTGGGAGTTATTCCTGAGCACAGAGCCAGGAGTAACCCCTGAGCACCATAGGCCCAAAACAACAAAAGGTAGGGCCAGAGGGCTCGGACAGGGGCTCAGGAATTTGTCTGGCAGTTCCTAGCACCTGATGGCCTCTGGGCTCTGCCAGCTGCTGCTCTGGAGACCCCCAAGCACAGTCGGTGGCGGGCAGGAAATTCCCAGCCCCTCAGAACCCCAGCAGCAGCAGACAATGCTCAGGCCTGCGGACCAGCTGGCCAAGAATCACCAAGGAAAGGCTCGGGGAGGGTACTGCTCGCGAGGCCGAAATAAATGCGTTTAATCAGGGCCCATGCTCTGCAGGCAAGCGGGCAATGCCTCCCCTCTGACTCCCCACTTGGCATCCTGCAGGACTTAAGCTAAGCCCACCCGTTGAGCTGTGCTGGGCGTCTTCATAGTGTCACTTGACGGGGGAGGGTCCCTGGGGGCCTGTTTCTGTCCCATCTGTGTATGAGGATTCCATGCGCCCGAGGGCAGGAGGGACACCGTCCAGTCTGGGGAGGCTCGAAACCCCTGCCCGGCCCTGACCCAGAGCCACCTCTGACACCCCCACCCAGGTGCGTGTGGACATGTTCCGGGCAGAGGAGCTGACGGCGTGTGCAGGGCTGACGTCACCCAGGATCGTGCCTCTGTACGGAGCTGTGAAAGAAGGCCCGTGGGTCAACATCTTTATGGAACTGCTGGAAGGTAGGGGCCCCACCCACTTCTCCCTGACTTACTGCCAGGTTCCTGAATCTTCCCCAGTTGACCTTGGGCCCCAGACAATCCAATGTGTTTGTTTTGGGGCCACACCCGGCGGTGCTCAGGGCTGACCCCTGCTCTGAACTCAGGGATCACTCTTGGATGGGCTTGAGGCACCATAGGGGGTGCCGGGAATTGAGCCCCGGTCATACAAGGCAAGAGCCCTACCCCCTTGGACTGTCTCTCCGACTCCCATTGTCTGTTTTAGAACTCTGCAACCTTTTAACATGAGCAGGAAAGAATACCGTGGCCTTGCTCGGTGGCCGGGAGAGCGCCGTGCAGACTGGCCGTTGGTTTCCTAGGTGGCTCCCTGGGACAGCTGATAAAACAGAAGGGCTGTCTGCCGGAGGACCGCGCCCTCTACTACCTGGGCCAGGCCCTGGAAGGGCTGGAGTACCTGCACACACGCAGGGTCCTGCACGGAGATGTCAAGGGTGAGACGGGGCCCTTAGCCTGGTCCCCATGGCCCCTTCCCTGTCGCCCTGCATTCCTGCCCCTTCTTCCTGGCCTGCCATCAACTGCAGTAGCAGGACTGAGTCAGGCCACCAGTGCTGGGAATAGGGCCCTGAGCACCCCCAGCCTGGTACCTGTTTCCAGTGGGCACCCTGGGGAGGAAGTGGCAGCGGGGTGAAGGGGAGCCCCATGCTTCTGGCCTGCACTGCCAGCCTCCTCCCTCCCTCTGTGACTGAGGGCCCCGGGCAGCAACGGCCTTGGGGGTCAGCCAGCAGGCGGCGTCCCCAAAGGTTCGGCTCACCTGTTCTTCACCGGGGCCCTCACAGCTGACAACGTGCTCCTGTCCAGCGACGGGAGCCGCGCAGCCCTTTGCGACTTCGGCCACGCTGTGTGTCTGCAACCCGATGGCGTGGGGAAGGCCTTGCTCACAGGTGAGCCCCCACACCTCCCCAGCCACAGTGACCACAGGCAGCAGCTGCCCAGAGCAGCCGGCAGCGCCACTCACCGCTCCACCTTGCCCCGCTGTATTTCGGCGCCCACAGGCCGCTGCTGCCTGTCTGGCTTAAATGCCACGGTGTGCCAGGAACTTGTCTCTGAGTGTCAGGAGCTTGTCTGTGGAGGGGTGGGGGTGGGGGAGGAGCTTGTCTCTGGGAGTGTTGGGAGCTCATCTGTGTGTGTGTGTGTGTGTGTGTGTGTGTGTGTGTGTGTGTGTGTAGCTTGTCTGTATATGTAAGGAGCTTGTCTCTAAGTGTGTCAGGAACTCATCTGAGTGTGTCAGGAATTCCTTTCTGAGAGTGTCAGGAGCTCATCTGTATGTGTGTGTGTCAGGAGCTTGTCTGTATGTGTCAGGAGTTCCTCTCTGAGTGTCAGGAACTTGTCTTAGTATGTCAGGAGTTCGTCTGTGTGTATGTGTACGTGTCAGGAGCTCCTCTCTGAGAGTGTCGGGAGCTTGTGTGTGTGTGTGTGTGTGTGTGTGTGTGTGTGTGTGTGTGTGTGTCAGGAGCTCATCTGAGTATGTCAGGAGCTTATCTCTGAGTGTGTCAGGAGCTCATCTTTGTGTGTCAGGAGCTTGAGTGCGTGTCAAGAGCTCGTCTGTGTCAGGAGTTCATCTCTGTGTGTCAGGAGCTTGTGTGTGTGTGTGTGTGTGTGTCAGGAACTTGTCTGAGTGTGTCGGGAATTCGTCTGTGTGTGTGTCAGGAGCTGGTCTCTGAGCTTCCTGCTGCACAGACATAAAAGCTGAACCCCGCCCTGGGGTTCATGTCTCCACCCCAGATCTGACCTTCTCCCAGTGGCCCGAGACTCTGAAGCTAGAGAAAAGTTTAACATACATTACTCAGTCCACACCTCTTACAAGCTATTTGGCAACTACATAGTGAAATGGTAGAAAAGAGCAAGGAATAAATACCCTCAGCAATTCACCAATTCTCTTGCCCCAAGAGATAGTTGTAAATATTTAAGATCATTCTTTCCAGGTTGGTTTTCTTTTATATGTGTGTGTATATATACACATATACATATATATACATATATACATACACATATAGATATGCATATGTGTATGAATGGCATTATAACACAAATCCGTATTCTGTTTTTTCATTTATGCCACTAAGCTTAATTTCATATTAACCCAAGAAAAATAACCGTCAGCAAGTAGGTAATTCTGTTTGAGGCTGTGTCGGAGCTTTCCCTTGAGCTTGGAGACAGGCCACTTTCCGTGGATGTGGTTTTGATCTGTTCTGTGGGCCTCACGCATGAGCTGCTCCCCAGCTGAGCCACATCCCAGCCCCGACCTCCACTTCAAAATAACTTTAGTGGTTTTTTGCTTATTGTGAATGTCTTTTTTTTTTTTCTTATTTCTTGCAGAGGGCTTGAGCGATAGCACAGCGGTAGGGCATTTGCCTTGCGCTCAGCCAGCCCGGCCGAGCCGGGTTCGATTCCTCCGCCCCTCTCGGAGAGCCCAGCAAGCTACCGAGAGTATCTCGCCCACACGGCAAAGCCTGGCAAGCTATCCGTGACGTATTCAGTATGCCAAACACAGTAACAACAAGTCTTAAAAAATGGAGACGTTACTGGGCCCGCTCGAGCAAATCGATGAACAATGGGAGGACAGTGTTTGTTTTGTTTTGTTGTTTATTTCTTGCAGAAAATAAAGCTAAGCAAATAAGAACTATAAATCAACAAGGGAAAAAATGATTAGATTCTGCTATCAGTCTTTCAAATCTTATTCATATGCTGTTTTCTTTTTACTTACTGAAGTTTCAGGAACATTATACCATGGTATAACTTCAAATCTTTATGCCCAGATCCCTCCCCTCACCTTTTTTTTTCTTTTTTTTTGGGGGGGGGGCACACCCAGCGGTGCATAGGGGTTACTCCTGGCTCATGCACTCAGGAATTACTCCTGGCGGTGCTTGGGGGACCATATGAGATACTGGGAACAGAACCTGGGTTGGCCGTGTGCAAGGCAAATGCCTTACCCGCTGTGCTATGGCTCCAGCTCCTCGCCTTCTTTTTTTTTTTTAATGATGAGACCCACACCCCCGCGGTGCTCAGAACTTACTCCTGGCTCTGTGCTCAGGGAATCACTCCTGACAGGTCTCAGGGGACCATATGTGGTTCTGGAGATCAAATCCAGGTTGGGCACATGCAAGGCAAATGTCCCTCCCACTGTACTATTGCCCCGGCCCCTTCTCCCCCTTCTTAAAAAGAACTTGAAGGGTTGGTTGGATTCAGAGGACAGAGCCGAGTCTCAGATGTGACAGTTAAGCCGGTCTCAGCAAGGCTGCTGACCTCATTCCCCTGCCTTGGAGACTTCCTGTCTGAGAGTCTTTCAGAGCTCTTGTGAGAACTCAAAGGTCTAGAGCACATGCCTTTCCTGCAGGAGCCCCAGCTTTCCCTCCAGCCCCCTGGGGGCCCCTGAGCACTGACAGGAGCAGCCCCCTGCACAAGAGCCTAGTGTGGGGGAAAAAAATGTAAATCAGATTTAAAAAACTAATTCCTTGGAGCCTGAGAGATAGTACAGTGGGGAGGGTGGTTGCCTTGTCCATAACTGACCCTGGTTCCATCCCCCACACCATATACTGGCCCCCTGAGTCCTTCCAGGAGCCATCCCTGAGCACAGCACCAGGAGTAAGCCCCCCCAAAAACAAAATTAATTTTAAAAATTCAAAGTTTTTTCTTTTGGGGTTTCACACCTGGCAACGCTCAGGGGTTATTCCTGACTCTGCACTCAGGAATTGCTCCTGGTGGTGCTCAGAGGTACCATATGGGATGCTGGGGATCCAACCCGGGTCGGCTGCGTGCAAGGCAAACGCCCTCCATGCTGTGCTATCTCTCAGCCCCTAAAAGAAAGTTTTTAACAGACTAGCGCAGGGTTTCCCAGGAACTGTTGGGGGTCGCCCCGGCTGAGTCTTGTTCACGACTCCAAGTTCACGACTGACCTTTCTCCCTGGCCCTCTCAGGGGACTACATCCCTGGCACCGAGACCCACATGGCCCCAGAGGTGGTGATGGGCAAGGCCTGCGACGCCAAGGTGGACATCTGGAGCAGCTGCTGCATGATGCTGCACATGCTCAACGGCGTCCACCCCTGGACCCAGTACTTCCCCGGCCGGCTCTACCTCAAGGTGTGCAGCCGCGGCTGGCCAGCAGGGGGCGCCGGAGAGGCGGCGCCTCCCGTCCGTCGGAGCTTCTCGTCCCCCGCCAGGGGGGTGCAGATGGGGACAGTGTGCAAACCCGACCAAGTCACTTGTCACCTACCTCCAAGGGACCCAGAGGGAGGCCCAGGGGGTCAGCGCTCCTCAGGAGAGCGCAGGCCTCCCTCTAGCCGGCGCAGTGGGGAGGGGACAGGGGGCAGGGCCAGGTCCGGGAGGCGGGCCTCCCATGCTGCCTTTTGACCCCCCAGATTGCCCGCGAGCCCCCTCCGGTGCGGGAGATCCCCCCGTGCTGCGCCCCGCTGACGGCCCAGGCCATCCAGGAGGGCCTGAGGAAGGAGCCGGCGCACCGAGCATCCGCCGCGGAGCTGGGGGGCAAGGTCAGCCTGGCGCTGCAGCACGGTACGAGCCCGCGCTGGCCGGGGCACACCTGGCACATCTGTGGGGAGCAGCGGGGTGCACCTGGTGTCCCTTCCGGGGGGTATGGAGCGGCCAGAGCCCAGGAAGAAGCTCGGAGCTCACAGGGCCGCTGGGGTGGGGGGTGGAGCCAGGAGAGACCCCAACACCCGTGACTGCGAGTCGGGGTTGGTTCTGTTCGGGGGGCCTCAGCCAGGGATGCTCAGGGCCAGTGCTCAGGGGGCACCACGATGGGGTGTCGAGGGTCAGCCCCGCCCCGCCCCCAACCGTGCGCTCTCTCCAGCCCCAGTGAGTCTAAAGCCGCAGACCAGGAGACGGCCGGGGTGCCAGTGGGGCAGGGTGGAAGGAGGGAGTGCTCGCATGGCCCCCCAACAGCGAGGGGGTGGGCCCCGCCCCAGCTCCGGGCGCCCTCAGAGCTGCCCTGGGTCCTGCGCTTCCTGAAGGGGCGGGCGAGGGGGCTGGCCTGTCCGTTCCCGCGAGGCCCCTCCAGCGCCCCGCCCCCAACACCTCCCCTGTGCTCTCTCCTAGTGGGGGGTCTGAGGAGCCCGTGGAGGGGCGAGTTTAAAGAACCGAGATGCCCGCCGCCACTGCCAGCCGGCCGGCCACCACCCCCGGCCCCCTGTCACCACCCCCCGCAGGCCTCTCCCCCCGGGGAGCCCGTGTCAGGGGCGCCAGGATTGCAGCCCACTAAGGACACGCCGGACAGGGCCCCGAAGCTCCGGCCCCCTCTGCCCCCGGACCCCCCGGAGCGGAACAGATCTCCGAGCCCGCCCTGGGGCAACCAGGGCAAGGAGGAGCCGGGCACGTGGGAAGCCCAGCCTCTGTCCTCCCTGGGCCCTGCGCCCCCCAGGACCCCCAGCTCGCCCGAGCGGAAACCCACCTTGCCCGAGCAGGAATTACAGCAGCTGGAGCTCGGTAGGCCCCGCCCCACCCTGCCCCTACCCCTGCACCCCTCCATCTCTGCAGCAGCTGGAGCCCCATAGGCCCCGCCCCTGCGCCCCCCCATCCCTGCAGCAGCTGGAGCTCCGTAGGCCCCGCCCCACCCTGTCCACCCCACGCCTGCCCCCCACAGCCCCACCGGTCACCAGGTCACGGCCACCTCTTCCCCCGCAGAGCTGTTCCTCAGCAGCCTGTCACAGCCCTTCTCTCTGGAGGAGCAGGAGCAGATCCTGTCCTGCCTCAGCATCGACAGCCTCTCCCTGTCCGACGACAACGAGGTGAGGCGTCTGCCCCGGACCCACCGTCCAGCCTGGAGCGACCCCGTGTCGCCGCAGGAGGAGCATGGGGGATGGGAGCCTTCCTGCTGGCCAGGGACATCCACCCTGAGCCGGCGGCAGTGCCCTAGTCCCGGGCTGCCCTTGCCCAACCCTTGTCCCACGTGGGAGCAAGACTGGAGCAGCCGGGGACCACTGTCGTTTCAGAACCCCTCAAAAGCCTCGCAGAGCTCGCGGGACACACTGAGCTCAGGCGTGCACTCGTGGGGCAGCCAGGCAGACGTGCGCAGCTCCAGCTGGAACATGGTGCTGGCCCGGGGCCGCCCCGCTGACACCCCGAGCTACTTCAACGGTACAGCCCTGGCCCTGGCTGGGGTGGGTGGGGTGCTCAGTGGGCAGATGCTCTGGTCCCGGGGCTGCGGGGAGGCGGGGGGGCAGTGAAGCCTCTCTGAAGCTCAGCCTAGCGGGGAGAAGAGCGACTCTAGTGACCCCAGAGTCACGACCCTGGGCGGGAATGTTCCCGAAGGGGGAGGGGAGCTCAGGATACCTCAGCCCTCACCCCCCCAATCAGAAGTCAGTCGGACAAGGCCCTCTCCCTCACCGGGTGTGGAGCAGCTGGGTTGGGCATGGCTGATGCATCCGCTCCGCTGCCAGCCAGTGGTGCCGGGGCATAAGGCCCTCAGAGCACTCAGGCTGGGTGCAGGCCACGGACTCCCGCCAGCCAGCCCCCACTCACCAACCCCCCCCCCCCCCAGGAGTCAGAGTCCAGATACAGTCTCTGAGTGGCGAGCACCTGCACATCCGGGACTTCCACGGGGTCAAAGTGGGGGACATCGCCAAGGGCATCAGCGGTCAGGTACGTGGGCAGGGATGGGGCTGAGCCCAGAGGCCAGGGGCCCAGCCCTGCTCAGCAGAGAAGAAACGGGCCCCGAGAGAATGCTGGCCTCGGGTAACCCCCTGCCAGGGTCTCTTGGCCAGGTCACCAATACTGACAGAGGAGGGAAGGGGTCCCCCAGAACTAGGGGGTCACTTGGATCCCTCCCGAGGGACACACAGGGGGAGAGCCAAGACCCTGGGTGGTCTGCCTGGCCCCTCTGTGCTGGTCTCAGAGCCGGGTTTGCTCTGCCCCCAGATCCCAGCTGCTGCCTTCAGCTTGGTGGCCAAGGACGGGCAGCCTGTGAGCTATGACATGGAGGTGCCCGACTCGGGCATCGACCTGCGCTGCACCCTAGCGCCCGACAGCAGCTTCGCCTGGAGTTGGAGAGTCAAGCACGGGCAACTGGAGAACAGGCCCTAGCCCAGCCCGTATACCACTCACTCTCCACCTGAGCAGACCTGCCTCCAAGCCCCGGGGACAGTCCCGGGGGCAGCTGTCCTGGCATCTGGGGCGCCCACCTGGGGAGCCATACAGGCTGAACCCTGCTGCAGCCGGCGGCCAAGGTGTCGTCAGTGAAACGGTTCTCAGAGCCCAGGCCGCTGAGCGAGGCTGCCCCTGCCCCTGGCCGGCCCTCAGTGCCCGGACCCAGCACTGGGTAACAGGCCAGTGGCGAGGGAGGGCCCGGCAGACAGAGGTGCTCACACCCCCACACACACACCAGCTTCCCGGGCCCAGCCCTGCCCTGGCCACGGGCGCTGCCCACTGCACTTTACACCCCGATGACCTCAAAGCACTTTCACAGTCGCCCTCCGGGAGGGCGGGGGGCTCCGTGTGAGCAGGACTAGGCCGGGAGACAGTGTGAAGAGACCCGGCGGCTCTCCCTACGTGACCCCTCGAGATGCCCCCCGCGGCCTGCCCCCAGGTTGCCAATCAGGACTCAATGTAGCATTAAATCAACTGTGAATCGTGGGGGGGCACTGGCCTGTTTGTCTCGGTTCCTGGGGCGAGGGGCGCCCCCTGGGAGTCCTCCCTGCGGGGTCCTCCTCCCCACGCCTGGCCAGGACTGTTCCCGCCCAGCCGCACTGCCCTGCGGGGACCAACACCCCCCCCCCCCCCCAGCAGATGACAGCTGGGCACGCCCCAGCCATCCCTACTCTGGCCCAGCCACTTTCGCCCTGCCTTGGATGAAGCGAGTGAAATCCGCAGGGTGCCCTTCCCACCACCGCCCCCCCATCTCCCCACCCCCACCCCGCAGGGGTGTCTCCAGGCCTCCGGGCTGCCTGCTTTCACTGGTTAGGCAAGAAAGCACAGTGGCCACAGGGCAGCCCCTGGTCAGCACAGCCAAGGTTGGGGGGGGCCACAGCCTTGCCACTGACCAGGCACCCACAGGCCAGCTGTATGCCACAGCCCAGCATCAGTGTCCCATCCTGTCCCGCAACCCCTCAGTGCCAGCTCCTGTCCCCAAGACCCAATCTCTAGGGCCCAGAGCTGAATGCGGGCACTGCTCCAGGCCGCCGGGGTGCAGGGCCTGGGCATGGATGGAACCAAATGCCAGGAATGGTCTGGCCTGGCTTCTACTGTTCTGCACAAATACCTGTATACCTTGGGGGGCCAAGACAGCAAAACCAGCAGGTGCTGGGGTCCTCAGGGCACCCGACCCAGCGCCAACACTCAGCAGTTCCTTGCCAAAATCTCTACTGCCCATGGCAGGTTCCTCCAGCACAGCCCCCTGCCCTGAGCCAGCATCGGGGGGCTCTTGAAAGCACGGCTCCAACTGCCTTCTCGCCTCAGGGCCCCCACCAGCGCAGGGACAGCAGCCCCAGATCACCCCTGGGAAACTCGGGCCAGCTCTGTGCACTCCGGGCTGCGGCCATCTCATGAATTTCAAACTGCAGATTGTCTCCCGGTCACATCCTGCCATCTCTGATAGATGCTTGGAACAACCACAGGGAGTGACTGTCTGCTTTATAGATGCTCACTGAGTGCTTCCCTGGTGTTTCTCTCCCTTAACCCCTGAGCAGGGATTTTTGCCCTGCAGAGCCTCACCGACATGGGGGTCCTCTTCTCCAGACCCCCTCACCCCAGAGACCAGGGCCAGCATCAAACACTAGCCATGAGACCCCCCCGAGCAGCTTCCGAACCCCCCTCTTGTGCACATCCGGGGCTAACAGATTTCATGCGGACATCTGCAGTCTCCTGCGAGGCTCAGCATGGCCCGTCCTGGCTTGGGAAGAGCAGGAAAGGTGGACCCCTAGTCCAGCCCAGAGGAGAAGACCCTGGACGTAGAGACAGGACTGGCTCGCAGGAATAGGATTTTGCCATAAAGAGACTCGGGGGGGGGGGGTGCGGGGCAGAGAGGGCTGGAGCAATAGCACAGCGGGTAAGGTGTTTGCCTTCCACCCAGCTGACCCAGGTTCAATTCCCAGCATCCCATATGATCCCCTGAGCCCCGCCAAGAGTGATTCCTGAGTGCAAAACCAGGAATAACCCCTGTGTATCACTGGGTGTGACCCAAAAAGAAAAGAAAAATAAGAGATTATTGGTTCCAGGGGCTGCTCTACAAGGACAATGAGCCACAGAAGTCAGTGCCATGCTCAGGGGTAGCCAGGCTGCCCCAAGGTCTTGCTATAGGCGTGACAGGCCAGTCAGGACACACCAGGCAGGACCTTGAGGCCAGCACTTGGCCATATCTTGGAGGCTGGTGGGGACCAGGGGCTCCTGGAGATGCCCAGGCCAAGGGAGCTGGTTTCCAGGGCCTAGCCAGGCACACTCAGCCCTCAGTGCTTAGCTGGTACCAGTCAGACATCCTTGAAGGTGGTGGCCTGGGGCCTCAGGACAGCCAGGAGGTTGCTTGCTTTGCATTAACTGACCCCGGTTCAATCCCCAACATCCCATAGGATGGGTCAGGAGTGATTCCTGAGTGCGAGCCAGGACATAACCCCTGAGCGCCACCGGGTGTGGCCCTGGGGTTGGTCCTGGTATCTTCCCCAGGCCCATCCGGTGAGGCCCTGAGGCCCCAGCAGGCAGCTCTTATCACTGGGTCTGGGCACCAAACCACCAGGCCCACACCACAGGGCTGCTTTAAAGGGCAGCAGAGGCTACACCCGAGATTGGCAGGTGAGAGGGATACACGAGAACCCATCTCTGCACGGGCCTAAGGGGCCCCCAAAGCCAGCCTGTGCCAGGGACCGGAGAGCCACGGCAAACGCCCGCACACCCACCTTCCTCTGATAGGGGGCTGCAGGAAGGGCCTCAAGCCCAGAGCCAAGGGCTGGAGTCCGGAAGGGCTCCAGGAAGAGGTGAGCCCTGAGTATTATCACAACAGGAAACAAGGAACATTCCAGAGCCAGGAGTGCTCCGCCAAGACAGAGAATCTGAGTGTTTTGAGCAAGGTGAACTGAGGTCCCTCTAGGGAGCAATGTGCAGTTGCTGATGGGAATTTCAGTCTGAACATGAAAAGCAGGAAAAGAGACTGGGTGGGCTGCAATGTCACAGCACTAGGGCCCTGCCTGCTTGCCTGGCCTGTGTGAGGTCCTGGGTTCAATCCCTACCCCTGACCCCCCCCCAAAATAATAATGATAAGATTGGGGGCTAGGGGCCAAAGCAATACTACAGTGAGTAGGACACTTGCATGTGGACACCCTGAGTTTGATCCCCAGCATCCCAAGGGGTCCTCCAAGCACCGGGAATAGTTTTTGAGTGCAGAACCAGGAGTAAACCCTGAGCACTGCCAGGTGTGGCCCAAGTCAAACAAAAAGACTAGGAGCTAGGGAGAGAGCTAAGAGGGGGCAGTGGGGTACACACCGTATGCGTGAGCCTGCTTCCCACCTGGTCCTCAGGAGCACCAGCCCCAAACACCAGGCTGAGAGCTGGGCCTCTGAGCACTGCCAGAGGAACACCTGGGGAAAGAAAAGCGGAGTTGAGGTGGGTGGGTTGGCAGGGGGCCCTCAGCAGTGAGCACCCTGGGCTGGACCACAGAGACGAGCACCACGAACGTATCTGAGAGCTGATGGCACCATCCCTGTCACCGCACTTCAGGGCCAGCGCGACCCCACATCAGTCAGGGCATTTGCCTCACACACAGCCGACCAGGTTTGATTCCCGGCATCCCAGATGGTCCCCTGATCAGGAGTGACCCCTGAGTGCAGAGCCAGGAGTAAGCCCTGAGCACCACCGGGTGTGGCCCCCAAACAAAACAAGTTCAGGGACTGTCCCCCGAGCCCAGCACTTGGGGCACTTTCCTTGTGCCAAGGCCCCTCAAGCCCCACCAGGAGTCCTGGTGGGCTGAGTAAGCCCTGAGCCCTGAGCATGGCTGGGTATGGCAAAAAAAAAATTTCAAAGAGCCTTTTTGGGGGGAGGATTCTCCCAAGCGGTGTTCAAGGGATCCCATGGGTGATTCAATCAGGCAGTGATTCAGCAGAAGGACCCGAGGACACAACACTGCTCAGGCTTCACAGTGCTGGACAGCCCCAGCACGGGGCTCAGGGCCCTCTGGGTGGGGAGGAGCACTCCTGGAGGGCTGGGGGTGGGGGCGGGCATAGGGACACCAGGGACTGATTCTGCAGCATGTAGACAAGTACCTTGTCCTCTGGACCTTCCCTCCAGCCCCTCCTGAGTGTTTTTGCTTTTGGGGTCACACCAGCGATGCACACGGGTTACTCCTGGCTCTGCACTCAGGAATTACTCCTGGCGGTGCTCGGGGGAACCATATGGGATGCTGTGGGGATTAAACCCGGGTCGGCCACATGCAAGGCAAACGCCCTACCCGCTATAGCTCCAACTCCCCCCCCCCGCCCCCGCCCTGAGTGTTTCTGAAGGAGTGTAGACTGGGAGCGCTGCTCTCAGCTCTAAGGGGGCAGTGCTGGCCAAGCCCAGGGTCCTCAGCCTCCGTGCCTGGCCTCCCGCCAGAACTCAGCAGCGCCTTGTGGCTCTATCAGAGCAGCACCCTGTGGTTAGGGCTGCAACGAGCGATGAAACACCAGGCTCAGCCTCCCTGCTCGCAGCAACCACATCGGTCTCATCCGAGCTGTTTCTCAGCAGCTACTTGTTCTTTTTTTTTTCTTTTTTAATCTCTTGCGGTGCTCAGGATGGAGCCCAGGGCCTCCCCCACGCCAGCTCGGAGCCGCATCCCCAGCCCTTGTTGCTTTCTTAGCGCTCCAAGCTGGCCCTGCTCTAATGCCCTCCCCCCCCGGCACCCTGCATCTGCTCTTGCCTTTGCACGTCACGTCTCCATTTCTCATTGCTGCTACACTGCATCGCCTGGCACTCCCCTGTACTAGCTCTCCGGTTCCCGATATTTGTATTCTTTAAATATCAAGATTATTTGCATGGTCCCATAATCACACCCCCACCTTCCAAATTTCATCTCCACTGATTTCTACAAGTTAAAAGTCAACAGACAGGATTTGTAGGGCCAGAGCGACAGTACAGAGGGTAGGATGCTGGCC